CCAATTTGGTCTGGGCCAGAGGTGGGCTTAATAACCGGCGACTACTGTATTTGTAACTTCTCATATTGCTAAAGTTAAAAGTTGTCAACACTAGGAATTCCTTTCCATGCGCCAAAGTACGCCTGTAGTGAACCGCGTATCTTTTTTCAGTTCTGTCTATGTAGGTTTTCAGACCGTTGGTATTCGTTGTAATAACTCATAAAGCATTCATTCATAAAGCATTCATTAAAAGACCTTCAGTCAGAAAAGTTATATAAATTGTAAGTCTTGGGAATAGATCTCATACTAAAAGTCAGAATGTTCCGCCAAATAATTAGGAAATGAATTAACGCTGTCTAGAACGGCTCACCGATCGTAAATATACTCCCTTCTCATGCAGGAATTTCGTTGACCATGGTGGATAACACAGAAAACTTGCAATGTGCATGCAGTGTAATACTGCACGGACTTATTCGGACACCTGTTCCATAAACGACTCCATTGCAATATTTTTAGGTACTTCTTTTATCTTAGAGTCCATAAAAGTAGTCCTTAGTGTTTTTAATTTGTTTTCGTCGACTTATCTTAATTTCCCGACTTCTTATGTTTTGAGAAGATAGGAAAAGTGCTTACAGTTAGCAGACATTCTCTTAACCATCTTCTCTTTTCTCACTGCTTCCGCTTATTTTCGACAATGCCTGAATGCCCATTTAGTGCCTTGGCCGGTTGCTAGGCGACCCAAAAATTAGCATGGAGGAAAAGAAAACAGGACAATATTAAAGTTGTTACCTTAGACAAATCAGTCGTATCTATGCATAGAACTTGAAGAAGTCTACATAGGCCGGTGAAGTGACGCCCTTATTTTCTCAGTGGATCCGTTTTTACTTGTACCACCGTTTATTTCTGCGGAAGGAACAAGTAGTGCCATTATCAGATTAAGGTCTAAGTTGACTTCTACAAGGTTTTTTAACCAATTAAAAATAGGCGATTACAGCCGTGGTCTCAGTTCATGTCATGGCAATATACCATGATCCTGCTGTTTTGCATTGATTTTTTCTGTACGAATTCAAGTTTTTTATTCTCTTATTCATATTTGGGTATTCCCAACTGGGTCTGCTAAAGTGTTTCGAAAGTATTTTTTCTGTCAGAAAAGTACAGATAGCATTGGTTAATAGTAGAACATTCGTTAACTGAAAATTGATCAGAGCGATACAGTTATTCGCTCCTCAAGAGGTAACCGTTGCTCTTATATTCTAGCTGTTTATTTAACTCGAGCATAAGTTTTTTACAGGCTTGTTAGTAATTATCTTAGGCAGCTAGTTGGGGGGATGGCAGGCTGAGCAACAGAAATCGGCAGCGGAAGTTGTCGCGTCGTAATTTGTTAGCAAAATGCCAACACGGGAAAGTCGACTTGACACAGGGCTGTTGCCACAGGAGACTTAAAACGTGGTGGATCCTTCTGGGCGACAACGCTCCACTTCATCAGATGCCCTCCTACTAACTTTCTGATATCGTCACTAGTATTGGATTACTCTACTGGAACAGCTCACCGTTTATAGGCAGAAAAACATTACCGACAAAGAAAAGAAGGGCTGGGATGGCCATTTCTGGCTTCATCATCATCAGCCAGCCAGGCAGCCATACCCAACTCCAGGGAGTGCACCACCCAAGGCTTGTACCCGCGACCTGTTGATTAGAAGTCCAACGCTCTGACTACTGAGCCAAGAGCTCGTATTGTCAAGTGCGATCGGGAATATGAACATTAGTGGGTGGGCGCTCGCCAAGACACAGCGGAACCAATTAACCCCATAACCGATCGGTGAGCGCCCCGATCGGACCCGTAGCTCACTGGTTAGAGCGTTTGACTTCTAATCAACAGGTCGCGGCTTTAAGCCCCGGTGGCCTGGGTATAGCTGGCTGATGATGGCTGATAAGCCAAAAATGACAATTTCGCTTTCCTTTGTCTGTGTCGCCAACGCTCTTTTGCCTATAATACTAGCTGCT